GTCCACTGACTAGCCAAATACTGATCAAGTATTTTTAAAGTGTTAACTTCACTAGAACACAAGAAATACTTTCGAGAGGCTTGATCTAATTGCCCTGACCTGGATAGCCCAGACAAGCCCGATCTTGTCAGATCTCAGAAGCTAAGCAGGGCCGACTCTGGCAAGTCCTTGGATGGGAGACCACTCTGAAATACCAGAGGCAGGGACAGGCTCTATTCAGCCACTTCTCTGAATGTCCTCCAGGCCTCCAGAGGTTGCCATGACTTCCAGGTGCATACACACTCACACATTAGAAACAAACAAACCCCCCCCCAAAAAAGAGAGGCTTGATCTAATTACAAAACAAATGACTTACCTGTTACTGTGAAACACTGAGATTCTCTTTTAGCATTGTAAAAAGTTATTATAGAAGTCAGGCTAGGTTTCCATAAACGTGAATGATTCTCTGAACAAGCGTACTAATAGGCTTTTACCTGACAGTCAACATACAATTCCAACTTGGTTTTTTTGTTTAAATGCCTTTAAAGCAGACGTAAGGAGCAGGACGGATCCTACCCGTCTCACAACTCCACTGAAGTCTGGAGCCTTCCTCCAGACGGTGGCTCCTTCCTCCTACTTCCGTCGGAGGAAGGTCTTCTCGGAGGAAGGGGCAAACAAATGTCAAACGCGGCGGCACCAAGTAGGCAGCAGATGGGATTTCTGCTGTTATCGTAGGCGACCAGTAGGCAGGGATGCCAGGCGCCAGCCTGCCATCCCAGGGAACTTTTGAGGGGTGGGGAAGGGGCATAAACGACACTGGGCTACCTGCCGACATGATGTCCAGGCAAAAAAAACCCCCAGATGTAATGCCAGGGCATCGACCAGTGTTCAAGGAACTCTATGGCATTACCGAAGTTTCTGGAGTAGAGGTCCTCAAACGTTTTGGGCCTGAGGGCACTTTTGGGATTCTGACAGGGCACGGTGGGGGCACAGCAACAAAATGGCTGCGGCGGGAGGGGGAGTCAGCCACAGAAACGATTGCCGCAGCTTAACTTGCAGTGACACGGTACAAAGCCTCGGGCTGTGGTGGCCGCCGCTGCAGCAACATATTTAAGAAACCTGCATAGGCGACCAGATCTCTAATAGTCAATCACAAGCCCTGCTGGGCCAATGCCCTACCTGGCCTATCCCACTTCCCCAAAACACCAGGCAATTGCTGGAAATGGTGTCCGCCACTGTGCCCGTGGGCAGCACCTTGGGGACCCCTGTTCTAGAGCATGGGCTGGCATCACCGATGGGTTTGTGCCCAGATGTGATTGCGAGTCGCCCAGGCGGTTTTCCATCACCAACTGAACCTCCACACGATCCTATTTCAACTACTTCTGCAAAGGTGAACAAGCCAATAGATCATGATGTGCCTCAGAGGTGGTAACTCCGGGTGCAGCGATAGTAACTTTACCGGATGGCGGAGCGCACATAAGCTGCCCCTGCCGTGCTGACTTCTCTGCATTCTGCCTCCAGCACGTCACGCACGAGCCCTTCAACTACTTCGGCGATGTCCTGGGGAACAAAAAGAAAGCACTGAGGATTAGCAGCCAGCACCCAAGAATTTCACTCTCTTCTCCCCGGCACTTAGAAGCGTTAATATTAAATTACATACATTGAGTTGTATAAATACATCAGGTTGTATCAAATAAGTGCCTTGACCAGCAAGCCCGATCTTGTCAGATCTCAGAAGCTAAGGAGGGCCGGCCCTGGCTCATATTTGGATGGGAGACCTCCAAGGAATACCAGCGCCATGTTGCAGAGGCAGGTGATGGGCGGCCACCTCTGAACATCCCTTGCCTTCACACCCTACTAGGTGGGCAGATTAGAGTCTGCGCACTGAACCACTACGCCAAACTGGCTCACGAAACTGGCTCACAAAAAAGGCTGTATCTACTAAGCCGGCTCTAGCTTGCAAATATTTAACACATAAAGTGCCCGCAGTATAGTAATCACGGCTTCCTGTTAACCCAATTCTACGGGGCCCTCCCCCCAATGACTTAATGCAGGAAGAGGAGAAAATTGTAAAAACAGGACAGCAGTACCGGAGATGTCCGCAAACCACTCAGAGGGCTCAAGGATGGAAGCCACACTGCAGGGAACATACCTTCAGGGCTGTAAGCTGTTCTCACCTGATGGAGCACTCCCTTCCTAGCCACCTGCATGGCAACTCCAAGTACTTATGAAGTACCCTGATCCTAGCAGGGAAGACCCTGCCTAACAGGTCCACGGATTGCATTTGCCTGTTTTGCTACTGCGCTATACAACAGTCAACTAAAAATCGCTCTCTCACATATAATTCCTTTTTTCCTCCTGTTTCCCAATTAGCAATAACAACAAAAATTGGCTTCAATTCACCTTTACAGGTCTGTACTCCTGAGCATCAGTGCTAAAGCTGAACTCTTGACTTTCCCCCAAATTCACACGCAAACGTAAGTACTAGTCAACAAATCCTGTTAACTTCCCCCTTTAGACCTAACTTCCACCCGGATCAACCAATCATCTTGCCAAATATGTGTAACAATTTTCTGTGCGGCTCTGTACAGCCCCATGAAAAACTGTTAAAAAAAAATGACATTAGTTTTATATGGAAATTTTAAGAAAGCGTTTGTTTGCATTTCAAAATTACACTGTGGTGCCTGCCCTGGCAATATCTACACTGGATGCCTGCGCTACACTGTGCATGGGGCTGCCCTTGAAGACTGTCCAGAAGCTACAGCTGGTAGAGACTGCAGCCAGAGTGTTGACTAGAGTGGGTCATAGGGACCATAATTGCCAATGTTCCCTCTAAGCTGAGTGAGTGTGAGCCAGCTCAGTTTTTTAGCCTCTGGCTCACACATTGTTGCCTTAGCTCACGAAGGATGGCTCCAGAGCAAACTGATTTATGCAGCAGCCGAATCGCTCGCTCACACTTTTAATACCAGTAGCTCACAAAGCAGAATTTTTGCTCACAAGACTCCACAGCTTAGCGGGAGCACTGGATATCACTGCAGTCTTCTTGTACCGACACTGGCTTCCAATTTCCTTCTGGGCTCAATTCAAGGTACTGGTACTGACCTTTCCCTGCACAGCCTGGGACCAACATACCTGAAGAACGGCCTTCTCCCCTATGAACCAACCCATCACTCTGACCATCTTTGAAGGCCTGCTTCGGTTGTCCCTGCCAACGGAGGCTAGACAGGTGGCAACATGAGGCAGTGCCTTCTTGTTCACGGCACCAAAAACTTTGGAACTCCCCTCCCCAGGGAGATTTGCCTGTCTCCCTCTATTGCTGCCTTCTGCCAGCCGGTGACAGCTTCTTTGTTTGGTTACTGGCCCTCCTCTGATATTGTGTGTTACGGGCTTTCATTGAATCATTTTTAATTCATTTAAATGTATTTTTAATGGCTCAAACGGTTTAATATTTTCCCCCTCTTTGCCACCTTGGGAACCCAGAGGGGGGCGGAAAGACAGCCTTAAGATGTTATACATAAATAAATGCAGAAGGAACAGAAGGCGTTTTCCTGACGTTCCTCACCGCGTCACAATAAGCAGGCTGAGGCTTTGGAGGAGGAGGTGCCGGCGGCTGCGGAAGAGGCTGAAAGGCGGAGACGGCAACCGGAGGCAGGGGGGCCGGCTGGAGCGGTAAAGCCAACAGTGGAGGGTGAACCTGACGCGGCTCTAAGTCCATTTCGTCTCCTCCTGCTCTTGCTTCTGGAGGGGAGAGAGACAGAACACCCGGCTGCTTAGGAAGGTAAAGAATATGGCACCAACCTATACCCACTTTCCTCGCTGAGACTGGGCAGGGCTAGGAGCCTTTGCAGTCCAATCAGCCCAGGGGGGAGGGCCCAGGCTTTAGGAGCGCAAAGCCTCAGGCCCAAGCTCTTGGCATCCAGGGATCATCAGAAAAATTATCACCAGTAGCCAGGCTGGGAAACACTGAGGTTACAGAGAGCCAATATGGATGCAGACAAAACAGTGCTGAGCTAAAGGGACCGACAGCCTGGCTGCACGAGACAGCTTCACGTCAAGACCCGGAATGCTGTGATTGACACCAGGCAGCTGAATTTATACTTGTGCTCCTTTTTTTTAGGTTGAGCAACGTACCAGGTATACAAAGAATACACCTTTAATGCTCAGTTGAAGCATTCATCATTCTGTCCCTTCATTTCTACTCCTTGAACAGTTCACTGAACCGTTCTGATTACCGTAAAAAAGGGAACACGTTACCAAGAAAAAACAAAGAAGCAAAGCAGAACAGAACACATTCTAACAGCTGGGAAGGATTAAGTCACTGCCAGACTCGGCCTCCATCAGAAACCATTAAAAAGTAAAAGAAACCCTTAATTTTGGTATATCTTGGGTTGGGTCAAGGATGGGTGGCTCCAAATTGGATAGCCCAGACAAGCCCGATCTCGTCCGATTTCGGAAGCTAAGCAGGGTCCACTCTGGCAAGTCCTTGGATGGGGGACTTCCTTGGAATACCAGAGGCAGGAGGCAGAGGCAGGCTTTATTCAGCCATCTCTCTGAATAGCCTTCAGGCCCCCAGTAGGGGTCAGAAACCAGAGGTCACCATGACTTCCAGGTGCACACGTACTCACATGCGCACACACATGTCAAAAATACAAAACAACAACAACAAAAGATTAGGGATGAGCATGAACCAAACCATGAAGTAAACTTGTCACGAATTTTGCCCCGTTCGTGGTTTGTGAACAGAAGTTCATGACAGGTCTACTGTCACAAACTTCCACGAATTTCATGGTTCACGGATGGAGCAGAAAGCAAAGGTTTAAAGGGGCTCTGAGTCTTTCTGTTCCCTGTGAGAGCCGCAAAAACAGCCACTCAGCTGTTCCGGGCTGTCTTGTGCTGTTCCTTTAAACTTTAAAGGGACTACAGAAGACAGCCCGAAACAGCTGGGCGGCGGGGAGCGCCTCCCCCACTGCACAGCTGTTTTTCGGGCTGTCTTCTGCAGTCCCTCTGGGCTTTGGACGTGAAGGTTGCATCTCACCTGAGACATCGGCACTGGCTTTCTGACTACCGCTGGCCAAATCCACCGCCGCGCTCTCCCCAGTGTATTTGTTTTGCTCGTTGAAGCTGCACACAGGTACGTGGCAAGTCAGAGCTGGCAAAGGTCCCCCACAGACAATTTCCCCAACCAGCCCAGTTAGCTTCTGGCTAACAAACGGCGACTTCTTTGGCTTGGGTAAGCTTTCTGGTTCCAAAAAGGCTGAACGATTCAGCTCCACAAAACTGTAAAAGCAAGACAAAAGCATGTACTGATGAACCAACACATTTAACAAAAGACTTCCCCGTGTTTATAAAGACATACCTATTGTATCCTATACAAGTAAAAGAAGAAGTATTTTTAAGACCCATATTCTCCCCCTCTCCCTCCTTTTCGGCTCATTCCACATTATACTGGGGGAAAGTTAACATACAGTGAACTTGTTATAATATAAAACGTTTCCCCTGACGTACTGTGCCCTGACTTGGATGGCCCAGGCTGGACTGATCTCCGTCAGATCTCGGAAGCAAAGCAGGGTCAGCCCTGACTAGGAGTTGGATGAGAGCAGGGCTTTCTTTGTAGAAAAAGCCCAGCAGGAACTCATTAGCATAATAGGCCACACCCAACAGCAGAAACTCATTAGCATATTAGGCCACACCCTGACAGCACCGCTCATTAGCACATTAGGACACACCCCCATGTTACCAGAAGTGTGGTCATCCAGCCACACCCACCTTTTGCTTCTTATTCTGTTTACCTTGTTTGTTGTCAAAACCCAGGGCCTTTTTTTGTAGCAGGAACTCCTTTGCATGTTAGGCCACACACCCCTAATGTAGCCAATCCTAATGAGTGTCTGCTATTGGGTGTGGCCTATTATGCTAATAAGTTCCTGCTGGGCGTGGCCAACTCAGGAGCCAGCCGGAACTCCGTTCCTGTGCGTTCCTGCCCAAAAATAGCCCTGGATGAGAGACCTCCAAGGAACACCATGGTTGTGATGCAGAGGCAGGCAACAGCAAACCACATCTGAACATCTCTTGCCTTGAAAACCTACAGGGTCGCCATGAGTTGGCCTTGGCTAGTATTTGGATGGACGACCTCCAAGGAAGATCAGGGTCATGACGCAGAGGCAGGCAATGGCCAACCACCTCTGAAACATCTCTTGCCTTAAAAAACAAGTCTAGTTTGCCACCTATTGGTGAATAACGCTAAAAGAGCTAGAACT